CCCGTGATGCTATTTACCCATTTATATCAGGTACGAGTTCATCTATTCTATGGAATGGGAATTTGATGAAAATATTCTCAGTAAAAACTGTCTGGAATTTACTTAGAACCTCCTATCCTTCTGTCTCCTGGTTCATGTTGTATGGGGGAAACCTCTTATTCCAAAACATAGTGTTTTGCTATGGCTTATTGTGATGAATCGGATTTCTATGAAAGATAAGCTAGCTGAAGGGAATGTGATTGATGAAGCTAGTTGTTTGCTCTGCCTAGGAGGGATTGAATCCCGCAATAATCTTTTTGGAGACTGTCCTTATTCTGCGTGGGTTTGGACTAAAGTTCTAGGATCTATTTGTGTTCCTCCTCTATTTTCAAGCTGGGATGAGCATCTGAGTTGGAGTGTTGGTGTTTGGCGTGGTTCGAGTGATACAGTTGTGGTAGGCAAGTTGCTATGGTCTATCTCTCTCAGTTATATTTGGCGGGAGAGGTGTGCTCGGTTGTATGGAGTGTGTGTAGCTACTGCGCCTCAGGTTTTGGTCTCCGAAATCCTGAATGAATGCAGGTGGTTTGCAGCAAGGAACTTGGATGTTGAGGGGCGAATGAGAGTCCTAGGACTAATTGTATAGTTTTTCTATTGTATCGTAATTGGTTGTTGATTTTTATTCGGTTGTGCAACTTTGAGAGGAGTTTAATGCTGGTGCACCTCCTGTACTTAATGCAATTTTTGATTACCCATAAAAATATTGAGAACTATTATTAAATTTAGCAATTTAATATACACTAGGACGGAAGCCCGTGCTTCGCGGCGGGGCAATTGATTTTTTGTTAAAGAGAATCCTTTTTTTAAGTGAATTATAAAGTGAACCTAGATATTGAAATAATATGTTCCTTAGTACTCGGTAATAGAAATTAAGGTAGAATGAAGAAAAAAACTTAAGAATATAATGTTGAGTCATAGTTCGATTATTGTATACCAAGAAATAAAATCATCCCCTCGTGTATTTTGTTGTTGGAGTTTTTCCTCTCGTTTTTTCTTCTTTTTGGTTCAGTAGTCTTGCTGAGAAAGGAAGAGATGGGAGGATGGAAGAGAGAGGAACGAAAGAGATGAGAGAATTAAGTGAAAATTAAAATAAATCGAAACTAACCAAAATGAGTCCACATAATTAGCCTAACAAAAAGTGGCAGACCCAGAAATTTCAATAAGAGTATTCAACAATGAATTAAAATCACTAAGGGTTGTCAAATAATTTCAAATCCATATACTACCATCACTGAAATCAAATTTTATACTAGTAATTTGTCCAAATTTTGCATGTAAGGTCTGTCAATTGACAAACCACTCTTGTAAGTGGGTCTGCCCCTGCTAACAACACAAAACTCCTCTTGTCTTTGGTTAATTACAAAAAGACCACTTTTTGTGTTGTGATTCTACAAAATTGTGTTTTAGAACTCACTCTAATCAGTTTGATAAAGCGGGGTAAGTTTCTAACAAAATCCACATGTGACCCAATCGGTTGATCACAAAAGCGGGTACCACTCGTCCACGACCAAAAAAATTTCAACACTGGATTTAACTCGATAAAGCGGAGCAAATTTATAACAAAATCCACACTCGACCCAATTCATTAATTACAAATGCAGGTAAAATTTATTCCAGACCCAAAATGCCGCAATAATGGTACCGGGTCGAATTAGCTTGAACAAACATGAACATGGGTTCAATTCAATTGTCATAAGACGTGGGTTCAATCCCAAAGCGACCTTTTTTTTGTGAAAACTGGATTCAACTTGCTCTGTCCGGTTTGATAAAGCGCGGCGAGCTTTTAACAAAATCCACATGCATCCCAATCTGTTGATTATAAAAGCGGTTAAACTCATCTCCGACCCAAAATTCGCCAACACTGGATTCAACTCGATAAAGCTGGCCAAGTTTGTAACAAAATCCTCACCCGACCCAATTTGTTAACTTGTTAAGTACAAAGGCGGGTGAAATTTGTTCTCGACCAAAAACTCGAAAACATCGGTACCAGGTCAAATTAGTTTAAAGTAAACACACATGAATTTGAGTTCAACTGTCATAAGAGGCATGTTCAATTTGGGTTCAATCCCAAAGCGACCCAAAATTTATGAGCACACATGAATTTCTCTATTTGGTTTGATACAACGGCGAGTTTCTAACAAAATCCACACACGACCCAATTTGTCGATCACAAAAGCGGGTAAAATACGTTTTTGACCCAATTCGATGGTTACAAAGGTGGATAAAATTCATTCACGCCCCCAAAAGTGTAAAGGGTAAAACTCGTCCTCGACCCAAAATGCGTCAACACTGAGTTAAACTCGATAAAGCGGGGTTTTGGGTTCAACTGTCATAAGAGGCGGGTTCAATCCCAAAGCGATCCAAAATTTGTGGACATACATGAATGAACTTGAACACACATGACTTTCTCTAACCATTTTTACAAAGCGGGGCTAGTTTCTTACAAAATCCACACGCGATCCAAGCAGTCGATCACATAAGCAGGTAAAATGCGTTCACGCCACCAAAAAGGTCGAGGGTAAAACTCATCATCGACCCAAAATGCGTAAACACTGGATTTAACTCGATAAAGTGGGGGTGTGTTTTTAACAAAATGCACACCCGACCCTATTCATCAATTTTAAAAGTGGGTAAATTTTGTTCTCGACCCAAAACTCGACAACACTGGTACCGGGTCAAATTAGCTTTAAGAAACATGAATTTGGGTTCAACTGTCATTAGAGGCGGGTTCAATTTGGGTTCAATCAAAGCGACATAAAATTTGTGAACACACATGAATGAGCTTGAACACACATGAATTTCTCTGACCATTTTAATAAAGCAGACGAGTTTCTAACAAAATCCACATGTGACCCAATCCGTCGATCACAAAAGCAGGTAAAGTGTATTCTCGACCCAATTCGTTGATTACAAAAGTGGATAAAATTCATTCACGCCCCCAAAAGTGTCAAGGGTAAAACCGTCATTGACCCAAAATGTGTCACCACTGGATTTAACTCGATAAAGCGGGATTGTGGGTTCAATTGTAGTAAGAGGCGAGTTCAATTTGGTTTCAATCCCAAAGAGACCCAAAATTTGTGACACACATGAATTTGTCTGACCGATTTTATAAAGCGGTTCGAGTTTCTAACATAATCCACACACGACCCAATCCATCGATCACAAAGGAGGTTAAAATGTGTTCTCTCCCCCAAAATGCGAGAACACTGGATTGAACTCGATAAGCGGGGTGTGTTCTTAACAAAATGCACGCCCGACCCTATTCTTTCATTATAAAAGCGGGTAAAATTTTTTATCGACTCAAAATTTCAGATAAATCGACTTCTGCTTGAATTATCTTGAACACACATTAGTTTGGGTTCAATTGTCATAAGAGGAAATATTTAAAAGATGGGTAAAATTCGTTCCCGATCCAAAATTCGGCAATACAAAAACTGGATTGAATTAGGTTGTGTAAACATGAATTTGAGTTCAACTATCAAGAAATAACTAAAATATTTGATTAATTAAAGAAAAGTAAACAATAAAATAATTCTAGTTGATATGACTCTACCAAATAGTAACCCAAAACTTGTTCTTTTAAACAGATAAATGTCGCAACTAAAAGATCTAACCCCTAAAGTCTCCAAAATCATTTGCAAGCCCGACATGACAAAAAAATAAAAATAAAAAACCATTAGCAAGGCAGAGAAAAAAAAATGTAAAACGACCGTAGCAGCGAAAGAAAGACAAAAAAAACTTGCTCAACCCAAAATTCGTTAATACCGAATAAAGTGGGGTGTGTTCTTAACAAAATGCACACCCGACCTTATTCGTTAATTATAAAATCGGGTAAATTTCATTCTCGACCCAAAATTTGGATACATCGACTCGAATAAGCTTGACACACATGAGTTTGGGTTCAATTATAATAAGAGGAGATATTTAAAAGATGGGTAAAATTTTTTCCTGACCCAAAAGTCGGCAACACCGAAATCGGGTAGAATTAGGTTGAATACACATGAATTTGAGTTCAACTATCAAGAAATAATTAAAACATTTGATTAATTAAAGAAAATAATAAAATAATCTTAGGTAATGTGACTCAACCAAATAGTAACCCAAAACTTGTTCTTTTAAAGAGTTCGAGACTGAAAGATCTAACTCAAGTCTCCAAAATCATTTGCATGCCCTACACAACAACAAAAATCGGTAAAAATCATTTGCAAGGAGTTGACAAAAAAAAACCATAATCGTGATCGATAAGCGAAAAAAAAAACTTGCTTGACGCAAAATTCGTTAATACCGAGTTCAACTCACTCTATTGATTTAAGCGTGTAAAACTCGCTTACCCAGGTTAAACCCACTGCTCATTATCAACTCAAAAATTTGTAACTCAAAAATTTGTAAAAATCGAGTTCATCAAAAATTTGTAAAAATCGAGTTCAACTCGCTTTAACCGTGTCAAATTAGATCGAACACCATTAATTTATAAATTTAATTAGAATTCAATTGTCATGCGTTAATTGATTAGAAAGCATAAAATTAATTGATTAAAGCACAAAATCCCCCACAAATTTTGATTTAATTATAAAAAGAAACCACTTGGGGTTCTTTTATAGAGATAAATAAGTAATAATTATAATTAAAATAATGAAGTATGCGAATAAAAAAAATATTTATATATAATATGAAAGACTTGGTAATAGGTTCATGCTCTGATTTGGTTATGTTCGTGGGATTGAAGAGAGTGCAATCAGGTGTGTCTAGTAGTATATAGTATGCATCATGTTTGCAGATTTCTCATGCTATATATATCTCCCTACTTTTATTTGTAGCTTTTACATCTCTGCGCCCTACATACGTACGCACGTTCTGCCTCTGTTATATAGATACCCAAAGTTCCACCATCGTGTACCGGAAATGACGTGCATGGGACGACTAGGGGGGAAGTGACATCGGTTAATCAAGTGTTGCTCTGAACCAAGTTACAGAGTACTTTATTTTCACCACCACATGAACATAATTTACAGACTAGCTAGGCAAACCGGCCATAGATCCACACTCGTCCCAGCTGCCCAGACATCCACCACAAACACATACATAAAGACCCACGTACGACAAAAACTACCAACAGAGGAGTGTACTTCATCAGCAACTTATATTACATACGAACTCATGTACGCTAGATAGATAAAAGCCAAAACCCTAATAACATGACACTACGTACGTATAGCTATTAGCCAAGGCTTGTCTAGGTATTGGTCTTGTACTTGGACTCATCGAGCGGAATCCCTTCCCTCTGGGCCCGCTCCCCGCCAGACTCCTCGGTGGTGCTGAGCCCACCTTTCCGGCCCATCTCCTGGTACCCTTCCGTCCCCAGCTGGTCCTTCCTCGTCTGCCCTCCTTTGCTCCTCCCTTCCGCCAGATGCTCCTGGGCTTCCAGGCTCTTCCCGCCCGTCCCGCCGGGGACCACAGTCTCGCCGCGCCTCGCCCTCGCGTCCAGCTCCTCCCTGTTCTGCTGCTGTGATGCCATTTCGATTTAGCTGCTTGGATTTTGGATAACGCAAGTATACGGATCTTTAATTAGTTTCTGTTTTTGTTGTTGTTGTTGTTGTTGTGATGGTATGGTATGGTAGTGAAGAGGAGCGACGTTAGGGTTTAAATAGGCTAGTGCGGGAGGGGAACAGGACGTTGGGGAGAGTGACACGTGTTGGATGATGCGGCAGATGAGGGTTGAAACGAGGACGACACGTAGGGTCGTGGAGAATGACACTGGTCGTTTGCTTGGTGCCGGAAAGGGAATAGGGGAAATCCAAGGCGTCGCCGGAAGGGACACGTGTGTTTTCCGCAACCGGCGTCGTTTGGCTTTGCTGATGGGAGACATATGGATCGGTAATCGGCTAACCTCGTTCTGGTGAACTCATATATATGTAACATGATCAATGTTTTCATAACAGAATCGTGGTATGAACCGCTATAGTAGGGATGGCATAAATATTTGTAACCGTGGATATTCCGCCGAATTCGACTTAATCAGGTAGGGTAAAACCCAAACCCGAAAGATTTTTAGTGGGTACGGGTAAAACCCGAACCCGAATATTGCGGGTATTGGGTGGACATGGTTTTCTCACTATCCAACCCGAACCCGCATGATTATACACATGCATATGTATTTTGTCTATAAATCATCAATATTTTTCTCTAACATATTTTGTATTTAGCATATAAATATAATATTTCTATGAAATTGTATTGTTTTAATTAATTTTCTTCATTCTACTGAATATTGTCGTATTTTTCGTCTTACTTAACGTGAGAATACGTGTGAATATTAACATATTGGTTGGAGTTATAAAGAGAAACTATTACCCATGGATAACCGTGGATACCCGAAACCCGTTTCTCATTTGGGTATGGGTATGAGTAAAACCCGAACTACTTTGGGTAGGATAACGGATATGCACTATCCGTCACCGACCCGACCCATTGTCATCCCTACACTATAGTAAGTAGTTCGAAATTTATTGGTTTAACCAGTATCAAGCCATTGTAAATCCGTTTGAACCGGTGTCTAAGAAATATAATTATTATAAGTAGAAACCATTAATGATATTATAATTAAATATTGATTCTAATATATTCAAACAAAAAATTATATATGACAAGTAAAGCTTATTATTGTACAAAAATATAAATTATTTATGTATAATACAAGTGATTTTTAATAGTTTTTTTTTTTGTTGAAAGGTTGACGCATTGCGTCTAGTGCATTAAATTAATAGAACGTTCTTGGGCAATGCCCATTACATCGTAGTACAGCCAATATCTAAGCTCTGGGTCGTACACATCGAAGGAATGTGTGCCAAAAGGGGAGTTGTGCACAACATTCGCAAAGTAGAGTCAGCAACACAGTTCGTCTCTCTATACACGTGAGAGATTTTGATCTCCCAATCCCGATCCAAAAGATTCCTAAACAAAACAACAACTTGTCCATGCCTGTGATCATCATCCTAGTGGTTGTTGATGATAGAAATAACCGTCTTCGAGTCCAGGTTGAGCTAGATTTTCCTATATCCCTCCTCTCACGCAATCTTCAGGCCTTCCATTGCACCTTTCAATTCCGCACAGGTGATCGAGAAGCTTCCCAAATTGCAGACAAAGGCTCGATGACATCTGCCGAGATGGTCACGGAAGAGGCCACCTCCAGCAGCCTTTCTTGTGTACCGATCTGTTGCTCTGGATTTGTATCCATTCAACGGGTGGTGGCTTCCAAATGATCTATTTCGTCTGAAGCTCCCTTCTGGGTTCATTCGTTGTGCTCTCCCAGAAGGTATGCGCATTTCGGACGATGCTAAACCAAGCTTTAATAGTTATGAACACTATTTAATGATTTATTTCAAAACTAAACATTGTGAGATCATTTAATAATAAGACTTGTAGCTCTTGCTACACAAATTGGTAGCAGCACAACTGGAAAATGATTTAACTTTGTACCAGGAGGTGCATGGTTTGAATCCCAACCCTCTCCAATTAGCCGGAATTTTGTCACCAAGATTCTGACTGGTAAAACCGTTGAATCAGTTCGAACGGTTTGTCAGTTTAACCAGTCGGTTCGCTTGCAAAGGGAATGTTCCAGCCGTGGCGGCTAAATAGCCTTGACCATACCGGGATGGAGGTCGGGTGACGGTTTCACCGATCCGGTCCGACTTTGATAACACTGAATAAGATCAGGTGCGCGATTATTAAAAGATGAGCCTCCCTGTCCTGTGGTGCTATTGCTAAAAGCAGCTAATTATGTATTAAACACTAACAACATAACCTATCGGAGGACGACAAGTTGCTAATTACTTCAGATGGACGTCGGGTAACAGTTTCACCGGTCTGGTCCGACTTTGATAACAATGAATGTGATCATGCGCGCGATTATTAGAAGGTGAGCCTCCCTGTCCTGTGATGCTATTGCTAAGAGCAGCTAATTATGTATTAAACACTAATGGAATTACCTATCGGAGGGCGACAAGTTGCTAATTACTTCAGATAAATATAGTCTAGATCATGTTTTAAAACTTTGAAACTTACATTTTTAAGCTTATCAACACTTGACGGATTTGAGTTTCATTAAGTAGTCCTTGCCTACAGGCCAGTGCAGGGTTGATGACTTGACATTTGACAAGGTGTCAATTAATTAATTAGTTGACAAACGGCTGACATGCATACATTCACAGTTGAATCAGTCTGATCTCTCTATTTGGTAAGGGGCATGCAAAAACTGATGATTGAGTCCTTAATCAAGACAAGAGTGCTTAATTCGATTATTTCTACTTGGTAATTAACGGCGGCGGACTGGGTTTTCTTTACGTTCTTTTGACTGAGCTAACTAAGAACTAGTGCGGGATATGGATCTATAACTTAGAAGTTAGAAGCATGCAATACTTTTTTTGTATGGTTAACTAGCCGCCAGAATTTGACCACGGAACCATGGAATGAGATTAAGGCATACTAACTAAACTAGCGTGGGCCCCGGCCAATTGGCCGGAGGAAGGTGAGTTATGAAATTTGATAATGTAATGGGGTGTATAGCTTATTGTTGTATAGTTTTTTTTGGGAAACACGTGATAAAAATAATGAATTTTAGCAGGAAAGAGACATGTATGATGCAATGAATCAAAAATCGGCCTTATGAACCAAAATCAAGTACCTGTTACCTTGTGAAACAATATTTTTCTAGTAATATGATGAGGTGGAGTAAGTTTTTTAGAAACCGAATTCCAGAAAATCGAATAAAAAAGCGCATATCTCGTCGGTTTTCGGGAAATGAGCATCTCACAATCGTTGCTAGCTTTTACTCGGCCGTTGGCCGATTAATTTGCTTTATAAAACTTTCATCTTGTCGTCATTGTGCTTTCTGGTTTTTGTCAGGCCATGATAAAATCTAAGAAAATCAAGAACGAACAACACGATTTGGGATAGGAACCGCCGTTGTCGTATCCCTAGAAAATGGTGGTAAACACGGACTCACCTGCCAAACTGGTCTGGATTGAGATTTTTATCGAGTATCAGGGAACCATGTGATTATAAATTAGACTTGATCAAAACGGCCCAAAACTTGAAATTCAGCCCGTTTGACCGACCCATGCCAAATTCTATTTATTCTTTACTTTTAAACTTTCTATTTGAAAATAAAAAATAGTGAAAGAAAATAGATGACTGCAATTCGCCATTTTCACATAACTTATTCGGGAATAAAACCATAGAAATTCAAAAGGAACTGAAAATGTTTAAGATCGTTTTAATGTTTAAAATAACTAAATAGATCTTTCTGTTTAGTTTTTTACTAACAAATACCAAACGATTCCCTGTAAAATACACTATAATTTGATATTATAATATCAAATTATTATATAATATATATTTAAAATGATAAAAATTGGACTAATTGGGTTGGTCGAGGTTGAACCATTGAATAACTTTAAAATACATTATATTTTAGCCATTAAGATATAAAATAATAGCATAATATATATTATGCCAGAGAAAATGGTTTGTTTTAGAATGGCAAACCAATGATGTTCATTTGTTTTACTTGATGGCCAAATCCCGTGTAGGTCAGACCCATTCAACTCTTTTATTTTATGGTTAGCAGTTAGCCCATTAGATACTAAGCATTAGTTTATTGTTAAATTTTTATTTTTAGCAATAAAAAGGAGTATTGTTTTTGCCTTTTCATATATATTTTATCACCACGGAGAAATAAAAGAGCTTAAGGAAAAAAATTGACACTCTTGGACCCGTTTAAATCCGCATGTGTACGGTAAGTTGGCCCGTTCCACAGAGGAAAGAGAAAAAAATTGACACTCCCTATTCTACCCTTCCTACAAACGCTCCTGGAGCAGGGAATTTGAAATGGGGGAAGAGTTTTTTCCTCCCTGCGATTATATGTTTATAATTTAAAAAGATAGAACAAATGTACTTATTGTGATTGGTTATGATACTTGTTTTTCTTTAAAATGGTCATGGTTCGAATCCCAGTACATTTGAAATGGGGCTCCCGTTTTTCCACTCGGTGTATTATAATATGCGTAGATTTCCAACCATCAGATAAAAATTTAATCCTAAGGTTAGACTTTCATAAAGGTTAATTTGGTCAAAACTCAAACTACTCACCACAAACCCTAATATATATATACGGCAAAATTATGGCTGCCTCTCCGCTCTTTGAAACGTCCACCTCCCCTATCCTCTTTCACAAACCCTTCCCATCACGTTCTCTCTTTTTCTCCGATCGGCGGCGCAGTCACGAACGCCCTAAAGAACAGAGGAGGTTGTCGATAATAATGGAGGAGGCAGGCGGTGGCAAGAGAAGGGCATCGATGGAAATGGATGAGGCAAGCAGCGACGATGACTTGTGAGATGAGGGTCACCGTCAGATTCACCTGATTGGCAGCCGACCTTCTGTCACCGTCAATGACGAGCAGCAAGATCTTGGTTCGAATATGTTCGAGGGTAACCTAGATCGGTCGTATTCTCCATTGGCGGAAGCCAGATCTGTGCACTCTATGACACAATCGGCGACAGACTACAGCATGGAAGCCATATCTTGTGGAGGGTAATGGAGCGGAAGGGAGAGAGAAGTTACGACTTCTAATTGCCGCATTTTGGGAGGGTTTGCAATCTTCGTGACTGCACGAGGAATATATTGAATTGATTAGTAGTGTTTTAGACTTTTAGTAGTAGTATTTTGTATCTGTAGACATTCTCTAGTAGTTGTAAAATTAGTCATGTTTATTGTACAAGCAGTGTTTTTTGTTAAATAGTAGTGATTTTTTGTTCAGTTATAGTAGTTTTTCGTTTGTGGTAATATTTTTATTATTTATCCATAGTGATTCTTACTAAAAA